CGGCGAGGGGCGGGGCCTGGGCTCCCAGTGGGAGGAGCGTGAGGATGAGAGACCTTTCCGCGGGGGATGGAGGAACCATAAATGGTTGGTTCAGGGGCCGAGGAGGCTCTTTCGCGTAGTTGAACGCTCGCTGGACGTCGTGCACCGGGCCCTGGGCCTACAAATGAATCAAACTCCCCGTGCCCTCGAGTTCAGTCTGGGAAGATCTTCAAAGCTGGGAGAGGACGGTTCCGCTAGGGCCGACTGGGCATCAGGAGGAGCAGCGACCCAGTGGGTTGCGGGCAGGGGCTCTGTGAGGTCTTGGAGAGGAGTCTTGGGAGGGGGCGTCTTAACAAGAGGTGATAGAGCCCTGGCCTGTTTGGCTCAGTGGGTAGAGCGTTGGCCTATGGACGGAAAGGTCCTGGGTTCCATTCTGGTGGAGGGCGCATGCCTGGAATGGGGGCTCGGTCTCCAGTAGGGGGCGTGCAGGAGGCAACCGATCAATGTTCTCCTGTGAGGTCTTGGAGAGGAGTCTTGGGAGGGGGCGTCTTAACAAGAGGTGATAGAGCCCTGGCCTGTTTGGCTCAGTGGGTAGAGCGTTGGCCTATGGACGGAAGGGTCCTGGGTTCCATTCTGGTGGAGGGCGCATGCCTGGAATGGGGGCTCGGTCTCCAGTAGGGGGCGTGCAGGAGGCAGCCTATCAATGTTCTGTCCCATTCTATGTCTCTCCCTTTCCCTTCCTTTCTGAAATCAATAAAAATATTTTTTAAAAAAGAAGAGGCAATTGATTGCTCATATGATAAATGCATTATTTGTTCAAGGCTTGTCTCTTCAAGGCTAAGCCTATATAATAAAAGCCTAATATGCAAATTGTCCCCTCCACCGGAGTTCGGTTGCTTGCTATAACGTGCGCTGACCTCCAGGGGGCGGCACGGACCATGGCAGGCATTGCTGATGCAGCACTGGCAGTGGGCGGCAGTCAAGGTGCCTCTGGCCCCATGGGTATGGCCACTGCCCCTGCACCTGGCAGCCTGCCCACCCTACTTACCTGTCACACCAGAGCGCAGAGCTGCAAGGACTCAGGCGGGAGAAGGGCACGTCTCTCACAGGCCTCGTCTCCTCTCCCTGTGCATGCGACCTACGTGCCCTTAAGGACCTCAGACCAGCAGGCGGGGAGGCTTCCATGTCTGGATTGGATCTATTTTGTTCACCACTTTATTGTGTTCATTACATTCCACATATGAGTGAGATCATATGATACTTGCCCTTCTCTGACTGGCTTATTTTGCTTAACATAATACTCTCCAGGTCTCTCCATGCTCTCTGAAAGGGTGAGAGATCCTT